CAGTGCAGAGCGCTGTGTGTGAACATGATCTTACTGTAGCTCTAGACTAAATATCAACATGTGTTTACTCATCTCACTGCACACAAACACATTCAGTGCTCCTCAAAATGAATACAAACGGTCAAATGCGAACTCAGAATATTATACAAACCTGCAATAATTAAATGTGTTAAATGAGACAAATATCATTTATGTATTTAGACCTTCGATGATCCAATTCAACCATACTAATAAGCAAAAATGACATCTGTTTCATTTTTGTTATTGTTTAATAGTGTTGAACTTTCTTCTCCTGCGTCGTATTCTTCATGAGATTAGTTTGAGCTGCGCCCTCTACTGTACAGACGTGCATTTACATTTCCTTCAGCCTGAGGCTGTATTCATTTCACTTTTGTTTGTTTGGCTTTTACATTTATAACTTTTTTATATTAAAAACAAACAAGCAAGCCCTGCCCAGATATAAAAAGTCACTCAAAAGTAACAATGCATTGCATTCCATAAAAAGCAACTAAGTAACGTAATTAGTTACTTTTTTAGGGAGTAACGCAATATTGTAACGCATTACTTTTAAAAGTTACTTTCCCCAGCACTGCTCATGAATATGAAGCAGATAATATATGCGGGTCAAAGACGTTAAGATGTCCGCATCAAAAGAAATTGACAAAAGTGATCGTATGTCCATAGAAAGCACATTAAATGCAAGTGTCTGCTTTTAAGGTTTCACATACAGTTTTGGAGAATAAAATGTTAAAATTTGGTTGAAATAATGTCATTCAGTGTAACACAATATTTATGTAAAAATTCAAACAACATGCTTATTCTGACGTGTACATATTAAAATATAATAAAGAATAAGGGAGAATATTACATTTTATTGTGTTTTAAAGGAGTAAAAAATTCTTACTGACAAATGGGCAAAATCTAGGATAGTGGCACATTTTTTAAAAAATGTCAAATTACAACTAATTAGTATTTGGGGTGAAAGTAATTCGTCTTTTAATATGTCATAAATTGATTTTTGTTGTAAATATGCCTCACAAGAATGTTACACGGAATGACATTTTAGAGGCTGTCTTCTGTAAATCAGGGGGAAATGTATGATATTTATTTCTTGCTCGGAAAAACAAAAACAGAATTGCAATTAAATTAAACAGAAAACTTTTATAGACAACAAAAATTTAAAGCAGTATTACACTTATTGTTTTCATGCTTAAACCCTTTTTCGTCTTTGACCCATGCGCATATTGCATATTTTAATTCTGTTTCAAACGCGTGTCACCTGGCTGATGGTGGGCAGTTTGGTGAGGAGCATCTGGAAGACTGGAGGAGGAAGCGTTTGCTGCAGGACCTGCAGGAGCTGCTGCGGCTGACCGCACACGGCGATCGCATTCGTCAGATGATCCACGCCTTTCTCATAGTCACCTGACAGACCGAGAGAGAGAGAGAGAGAGAGAGAGGGACCAGGGTTAACAGCCAGAGTTATTACAGTTAACTAACACTATAAAAAAATCATTTTGTTGATTAAAATATTAGTTGAAACTAGTGCTGTCAAACGATTAATCGCATCCAAAATAAAAGTTTTTGTTTACATAATATATGTGTACACTGTGTATATTTATTATGCATATATAAATACAATGTCTATGGTGTGAGACAGATGATTTCTCACCCTGCGCCAGAAGCTCTTCTCCGAGCTGAATCTCCTCCAGGAAGAATTTCTGAACGGCTTCGGCGTCTTTCAGGTCTGGTAACTGAACAAACACAGAGATGGAAAAGATGAAAACCATTAGGGAACGTTTCATATGGCTAGTTCTCAATCAGAATACACTATCAAGAAGAAAAAAAAACATCTGTAACAATAAATGTGTGTGAAATTACCTTTGATAATCCAGATTTCTCCTGAGCCACCTTCTGCTTTTTTCTTCCTGAAACAAAATCACATTCATCAACATATCTGCATTTTACAACTAGTACAGAAGGCTAACTAGTTAATTATATCTAGTCTAGTTCACAATATCTAACTTTAAGATGTTTTAAATACTGACAGACAGACAGATAGATAAATATTCAGAGAGACAGATATATAGATATTCAGACAGACAGATCGACAGACAGACAGAGATAGATAGATATTCAGACAGACAGACAGATAGATAGATAGACAAGACGGACAGACAGATATTCAGACAGACAGACAGAGATAGATAGATATTCAGACAGACAGACAGACAGATAGATATATAGATATTTAGATATTTAGATCGACAGACAGACAGATAGATATTCAGACAGACAGACA